ATAATATTTTCTGATTTTTAGGGATTTGTTATTTTCCCTATTTTTTGGTGCTTTTTCTCTTGCTTTGTCTAGGTCTCGACTTATTTGAGAGGGAGCCGAGTCACCCGACCAACTCATCTGGGGCAGGGCCCGTGTACCTTGCCCAGGCAGTGTTTCTGAACACTGATATTCTTTTATATATGTTGCATTGCATCTCTGGCAAATTGTTTGTGTGATCGACTTTACTGATTGGGCTTGGTACTTTCAAATGCATTTGATCATTTGGATGGTCATATAGAAGATCCAATTCTTTGTAATTTGCTTATTAATTAGATAATTTATTTTCTACCACAGATTGAAGCAAGAACTTTACGGCAAAACAAACTATCAGAAGACATTCCAAGTGCTCCCCCATTTAATGGCTCTGGAAAGGAAAATAACCATGCCGTTCATCAAAAGCCACTGAATACTGCCTCCACGGCACCAAATGCTGCAGATGCAGCCAGGTCTGCTAGGGCAGACCCCACATTGGACAAAGACCTAGGTCATGGGGTCAGTGCACATGATAATAAGGCAACTGAGCTGCCCAATCAATGCACCAGGTTGATGTTACTGTTAATTTTTTTGGTTGTAGAAACAATTAATTTTCTATGATATGAATCTTGATATCCTTTTTTGGTGGAACTAACACTTGATACCTGTGAGTATTATTAAAAAAATAAACAAATAAGTAAATCAATGAAAGCACTTGAACCTGGGCAGCTACATTGCATGATGAATGCGACACACCCATATACAGATGCTATCAGCATGCATGACTAAGGAGCATGGGTGTCTGCAAGCATGCATTTGTTCTAATTGTCAATGCATGCATGCGTCCTATTTTTGTTTAATATTAATTGTGCATTATGCTTTGTAGGCCTGCCAGTGTTGTTTCTGGGGAAGCAGTGGGTTCATCCATTGGCCCTTTACCAGTACGTGCACCCACCTTTCATGTCAGGTGTGTAATATATTTATCATCTCTGTGGCAAACTTGAACTTGGTGCTTGTATATTGACTATATGATGAATCAATTTATATCTTATTGCAAACAATTGTTAGCTTTAGTATTATTGTCATTGTTTATATGAAAAATCTCACATTTTTGCCAATGTTCAGTGGACAGGGGCCATGGCAAGCCGTTATTGCGTATGATGCATGTGTCCGGCTTTGCCTTCATTCATGGGCTAGGGGTTGCATGGAAGCCCCTGTATTTTTGGAGAATGAATGTGCTCTACTTCGAAATGCATTTGGGTAAGTGCGGAAACTTTCTTTTTCCCATTCCTGTGCCCTCTGAAAATGAAAAAATACATGGATGTCTCAGTAATGCATGATTTTGGAGTTGGCGGGCTGGAGTCAAGAGCTAATTCACTTGCCTTATTTTACTATGCTTTATGTGTGAATAGTTTGCAACAGATATTGCTACAACCAGAAGAAGAATTACTGGCAACACGTGCTAAGGATATTTTGCCAGAGGGAGCTGCACCAAAGCCCAAAAAAACCATTGGCAGAATGAAGGTGCAAGGTATTGATATACTAGCAAACTTAGCCTTAGCTATTATACTAACTCTAAAGTTCAGTGGTTTAAGCCATGGCCTTAGGTCTGGAGATGCTAGGGTCCGGAGCCCAAGTCAGGAATCTCAGACTCGGTGCAGGAAAAAATAATAATACATATTGGGATCCGGCAAGATTTCAGCCGGTTCATGTGGGTTTGGTTCCGGACTCGGTAGCCCTCAGAGTCCGAGTAGGACTTGCCGAATCGGATTCACTACTAAACCACTCTATATCAGTTTCCTGTTTGTTATGTATGGCTGAAATGTTCTGAGCAAGGCCACTCGGACTCTGCGAGTAACTCGGCCTCGCCCTATCGGCGAGGAGAGTTTTGGGCGATCAGACCGTACAACATGTTAGTAAACTTTATTTATATAATACGTG